GTAAAGTTATTACAGTATATTCATAAGGTGATATGAATACCTGTACCAAATGCTTCAGTCGATCCAATAGTTGGTTAAATATTTCAGCCTGGACCAAAGTGATGGAACAACCTACATCCCTGGAGCCCCACCGCTAACAATGCAACTAGTCTAGACAACAACACGTCCTTCAATAATGTTAGGTTTAGATTAAAATAAGGTTTTATATGGATTTTCCATTATTTTTATCTCCACTTATCAGGATGTTAGTCTCTATTAATTTACATTCTCACTGTAATATTAATAAGTCTTATTAGCTAACAACAAATTTATCAGCAAGCATATCCACATATTTGTCTTCACATAACACATGGCTATTGACATGAACTCATATTTTAAAGCTTCACAGGGTTATAGCAGTTTGAAGTGAATCAGTTTTTCTTCATTAAGATGCAAAGTTATAAATCAAGGTGCCTGAAAATCTAATCAGACCGTCAACTCAACAGAGGGAAGCTACGAGGAAAGTATGAAGCTGTTGACAGAGTCAGACATCACTGTGGTGGCAGGACAGAAAAAAAGCGAATGATCCATGCGGGCATTTAATAATCATATTTTATTCTAATATACACGCAAAAAGATGGTAATCACATTACAGACACTTTTGGGGGGTTTTTGCAATCACTACAGTAGGAGAGTTATAAAAAAAGATCTTCCTTTAGTGTCTGGTGTTGTCTGATCATTCCCCCTTTTGGCCTAAAATACAGCTTCAATCACTTGTCATGACAGTGTCACCTCAAAGTTTGAAAGTGCATTGACTCACATGAACAACACATTACTTAGGACAAAGCAGTGCACAATAATAGAAACAACAGCTTTCAAGTCTGGGAGTGTCTGCAGTGTGAGTAACGACAGGACAGAAAGGCTGGAGTCAACAAGAGGACACAGAGCATGTATACTCCCTCTATACAATAAACACCCACCAGCATGTGTGCGTGTAAATAGACTCCCTATTGAGACATCAAGCTGTGATTTGAACGCTCTCTCCAGTCACCGCGCCATGATGGAGACAAAATGTCATGTCAGAGCAAAACACTTGCAGGCCATTGCTCATCCTCAGCACAGTCGGCCCGGGAGAACGAGACACACACATCTACATTGTTACACAAACACACACACAGTTGTACAACAGGGCACCTGCTGAGTCTAAGTGGTCTTGTAGCTTTAGATGAATACAGAGAGGATGAAAGTCAGGAGTGTATTACAGGGTTGTACATGTTAGGGATTATTTTCTCTGCAAAACAAATACAAATTGAATACAGAATTCTCCACTGAATCGGATTTCCAGCTGGTTGTCTGGCTTTAACACGCCAACTCGGGGCATGACTTTGACCTTCAAATGTACAGACAACCACTACAGTGACGTTATGTTTACCATGTTCAAGATTGGTATGATCATGTTAAGTGTTACGGACATTGTAAATGTAAATAAATGGCAATATAATGCCAGTATGCCAATTTTATACATGATTACATGTACACAAAAACAGTGAAATGTGATTGCACGTACATACAGTTATAAGTTTACTCAATGTAGAAATGTAAGCTGATCCCTTATTGGCAGACACAATAATATGCATACACTATCATTGATTTGGATTTAACATTGTAATAATCTATGGGGTCATCTGATTGGATCATAGTTTGTGGTGCTGGATTGCATTGCAGTGTAAGATCATGTAAGCCTCGGGTTGCAGACCGTTTCATTATTACGATGAACTGAGGTATTGTGTTCTTGTGTCCATAATCTGGTCATCCCGTTGTGTTTATTAGAGGCATATCACTGTGATATGTGGAGCATTTTATTTTTCTGGTGGCTTTAAGACAAACTGAAATGAAAATTCAGGCAGGTGTTGACATAAAAAGTAAAGTCTACTGGGAATCAGTGCGAATGTTAGCAACCTTGCTTCCACTTTGAGGAGTGAAATGCAAAACAAATACCACAATGTGTCCTCCCAATGCTGAATGTTGTAAAAGGACAGATGTCTTAAATATACATGTAGAAAAAACTTGATCCTAAATGTCAGCTGCTGCCACGGGAAGCGCCCACCCAGAGGTTTGAAGCTTAGATGCTGTTTCCACAAATATGTCCAAAAATGGCTTTATCCTCTTTTGAAAAATAGAAAAATTTGCACAACAGCTGCACTGTCATTATAGTTTATATTTCTTCACAAGAAAAGTGAAGAGAAATCACATGTCTGCTTGACTTTAACTGCTCATGTCCACCAAAATATTGGATGCAATTCAAAACTTTGTTCAATGAGAAGAGAAGTTGTACATGTACAATATTGTATGTCACATTATCAACACAATCAAATACACAGACACAGCATCCACACACTGTCTCAGGCCTCAACGCTGTGTTAACACTACAAGGGCACGAGCAGGGTCAGGGTTCTGCTTCACCCTGATTGGTTTATTGAGGCTCTGTCCAGGATTTTTACAGCCCTTAATTGTGGCTATTGTTAAAGCTGTATCCATACTTTGTGTGCAGAAATCCAATTATCATTTCAGTCCAAGTCGTAAATATTTTGGCTCATTTCACAATGGAGCTGAGGGGCAGCTGCAAAAAGCAAGAAGGACGGCATGAAATATGGAGAAATACAGAGAGTGCTTTAAAGGAAAATATGAAGGAGAGCAAAATCAAGCAAAAAATCTTCAGGAGGTTCATCTTTAATATATGTTAAATGACTACCAAATAGAAATCTGAGAGATAACTTGCGCACACAGTGAGTGCACATCTCAGTCATTGAGCAGAATACACTTGGTATTGGGAAACAGATCCATTATTCAGACAGATTCTCCAAATGGTAGATGGGCAATTCAGGTTTGAGCAAAGCATCCAGGCTCTCACTGAGGGCCTTTGTGTTGTCCTGTTGCCTGAATTATTTATTGCTGAGCAGAAATATGGACCTGAAATAGCCAACCATTGGAAACCTAACCTTGAGGAAAAAGCAGAGAAAAGAAAAGAGAGTGGAAAAGAAAGAGATAGAGAGGTGTGCGTTGAAACTGACACATGCTGAACAGAAAGCCACTTAAAATGATGAGGTTACTTAACTGCAGAAAGAGGCAATTACAAGACAATATCTATTTGTGCGTGAGCTGGCAGCGGCAAGACAGAGAGGGGACTGTGATGTATTGACACACACACAGACACACGTCCTGCCTTCATGAGTCCAGCAGGATTTGGTTTCCCTCCTTCATGTTCACAATCAAAGCCGTCCACAGCAGAACACAGGGACAGCGTGGCAGAGACACAGCTCAGACCCAAACGCTTTTATCAAGACTTCTCCCTGTTTCTTTTTGCCTTCCTCCACCTCCACACTCTTGCAACCAAACCCCTCTTCTCTCTGTTACTCCTCATGTCGCCTGCAGGGTCTTACTGCATTTAGTTTCACTTTTACAGTGTGTACAGTGTTGTCCCCATGTACATCTCTCTCTTTAGCCTTTTTGTTCTTAAATGGAGAAAAAAAAATGTTGCTCGTGATGAAGAGCCAGAGAGAAACTGCGTGATACAGTGTGTGGATCGTGTGAGAATCTTAGCTATTCCATTCTGAGTGCAGGTCTGAAATGCTGAGCAGCATATTGCCCCATATGACAAAACTCTAATGGATACAGATTGTCTTATTGGCCTGTCTAACCCCCCCGAACTGTTTACAAAACACAACTCTGGCTTTGATACTCAGTGCACATTGTGTAACAATCATTTTCATTATCAATTTACCTGCCAATTATTTTCTAGATTAATAATTTGGTCTATTTGTACTACATTTCCCCTGCTGCTGTGCTTCTCCAGGGGATCAATTAAGGAACATCTTATCTTATCTTAAAAAAATAACAGAAGACAGTAAAAAAATTGCAATCACTAAACACTAAGAAGCCAGTAAACACAGCTGAGAAACTGGAACCAGATATTTCTTATCATTTCGCTTTTAACATTATTTAGATGATTCAAACACCTAAATCAAAAACAGACCTGCAGGGAACAAAATACAAAAAAATATTTCATATTAAGGTCCAATGTGTATAAAATAATTGAGTAATTGTTTAACAGATCAATGACAAGTCTTAAATATACTGACTTAAAGATTAAGGGGTTTAACTATTTAATTGAAGTTCTATTTAGGCTTGTTGATTTCTCCCTAAAATACTTCGGAGAGGGAGGTGGAACCATAATTAAGCAATAAGATGAGAATAACAGTACGAGTGGTTTATGACATTTTGAATATATTTAAAGGCATGTTTGCCCCCTTGGCTGTTGGCACACGCAACAAAACACAAATGCAAAACATGGCAAACACACACAGCATCCAAACAGACAACCACACTTTGATGTACAGTATGCAAGATTTTCAGCGGGCTGCAGTGAGGACTCCCTCAGGAGCGTGGGAGAAATACACAGCCTCAGAGCCCGTATAACTGTGTCAAGCACCTACTCCCACATGCAGCCCGTGGATTCTAATAAAACCCAGATTCCTCTGCTAAATCGATATTTCAGAACAGCACACGAAGCGGTGCGCTAGGCACTGCACGGGGGGAATGAAAGTGCCCAACCTCGTGCCAAATACACACATAAAGTTGGATGTAATATGCATTACCAACAGAGTTTGCTGTTCATAAAGATTTTTGTTAAATGTCCATACGAACGGTTACAACTGGATTAAAAAAAAAACGCTTTGTAAAAGTTCATTTTTCAAAAGTTAAAAAGGCATTTTAATGTGTGAAATGTAAGTGCCCGCTCTTGTCATACAGAATGAAAGAACTGCCTTTTTTAATTGGCAATTTATGTTATTGTTGGACAGGACTGGCTACATGCGTGCTTTCCAAGCGGCTGCACATTGTTACACTAAAATGCCTTTATCAGATAAACAGCTGCACACAATATATATATATATTACAGATTTTAAAATCCATTATTATTATTATTAATATATTGTTATTAATGAAGCAAACTGCACGCTTACCTCTTATGTCGGAGCAGTGCGCTCAGCGATCCATGCCCGCAGCCTGTGTGCTGATGGGAAGCGTCCCCTCTGTCCTGCTGAGCAGCAGACGAGCACATGCTCAGCAGCAGCAGCTCCACCAGGGGCCACTGACAACAACACAGCTCAGTGGGACGGACTGACGGACGGACGGACGGACTGCTGCAGTGCCCGCGGGCACAGATCAAGCTCCTGCTGGATGATTACAGTGACTGACTGAAGGAGGAGGGAGGGGCCACATCTACTATCAAGGTCATTCACATCGAAGGTTTAAGGATGGGGGTCTTTGTCTTTGAGGTGGAACTTTTTTTTTTGTGGGCTGAATGAATATTCGTATTATTAGAAGGTAGCTCTGTTTACAGGGCTTGGTTATATATAAAGGCCACTCCAGAGGGAGCTGCACACAATCTGATAAATTACCTCAAGTGATGTCACTTGAGTCTGCATCAGCTGGGTCTGGAGAAATCTGGGGAGTTGGAAAGAAATTAGTTTACCAGACGTCCGTAGCCCACTCCTCTGCTCGAGGCAAGCCTAACGCAAGGTACTTCAAGTTGCATCTTGGGAAATGTAGGCACAATGTTTTTGCAAGGAAGAAGAATGTGTGGAATAAAAAAAATATTATATCTGGTTCAGTTTTGATCTCTTAAAAAGTTAATCAAAATATTATCGAAATCGCATCATGGCCACGTGCAATATCCAAATCACAGAAGCTTAATTTTTTTACAATGTGCGACCAAACAGCATTATAATGAAGTACTGTTGTTCTGAAAAGATGCCCTGGGCTACAGACCTTGTTCCCCAGAACTCCAGTTTCAAGAAAACATGTTAGTTTGGTACAGACCCCAAAAAACATTTCATCATGATTATGGTTTTCACTGAAAATTAAATGTGTTGCAAAAGAGAAAATTGCCACACTATTTCCGTGTGTCAAATATTGTATTGGGATGTTTTCACCATATCGTGCAGCTCTAGACTCGACATGTTAGAGGAGTGTTATAGATGTACAGTGCTAAATCTGTAAAGTACTAGTAATAAGTAATAAAAATCTACATTTTGAATGTTTCTCAACTTTTCATCACTGTGATTAGGCCTATAGGTCTGTTTCCCTGCTGTGAGCAAACAAACCAATAACATCTCCGGTCAATACTTTTTGTGTTTCTGTTTAAAAAGAGCTGTCAATTCATTTGGGAGTGATAGCAGCTCCCAGTCTTGTGTCTAGTTTTGTTGGTGGTGTGGTGACCCTTCTGTTTACATTTGGACCAGACTGTGTGCCTTGTAATGACCACAGAATATACATACATACACACACACACACACACATATATATATATATATATATATATATATATATATATATATATATATATATATATATAAATAAATTTGAGCTCAAGCTTCTAGGTCAAGCGGGACAGCAGCAATGCCTAGTTTGATATTTTCAGTTGGAGCATCTACATGACATTATCAACAGATTGGCAATGAAGCAGACAATTCTATGTCTACAATTCAATACAGTCAAATAGTGCTATTTAGGAATACTGTGAACCATAACAAATGTAGTTTAAAGCGAGACAGTCAGCATGTACCTCATGACTCAATTCAGAGCAGTCAAAGAAATAGCACATGACCAGTGTTCACTTTTAAGTTGTGTTTGCATGTGGGTGTGCTACACAGATGTAATTTAATTGATGCAATGCCAATACAAAATAGCAAGATGTTGTAATTATCCAATGATTCATTACATTACATTTAAACACCCATATCCCACAACACTTCAGTAAACAATAACCAGCTGATATTATGTGGGGCATTTATTGTATTTCATGTAAGCATGGACTGATTTAGAAATGACCACTGTTACCCCTTCTATTTCTTCTGGTCATAATATTTTCTCTAGACAAAGAATTGAGACAAAAAGAGAAGAAACCAGCAAATGATAAAACAGGGAGAAGGACCACAGTTATTCTCTGACTCTTGACCCACTGAATCAATACCTCAGACATATCTTTTTCACGATATATCAGACAGCCAATTTGGTTCAAATCTGTCCCACCTTCCAAGAAAAGATGGCTAAAGTGGTACTTCTGCCACCAGCTGAAACCATCATCTCTCTCTCAGTATAATGGTTTGCTTCCGTCCCCTCGCCCCCTGCAGCTGCTTGCTCTTCCTTCGTTCTCTTCCTTTGGTTTTCTGAGGCAGAGGAGGCTGCAGCTGACAGGACAGCACAGGCCAGGGGACAATTAGGGAAGCGTAGGAGAGACAGCTGGACCTGTTGCCAATTACACTGACTATGACCATGAACACCACCCACCCAAATGGACTTTCAGGAATGGGAAAAGAGAGTGTTCATTTAATTTATTCATCTCAAAAGGACAAAGTTACATAGTAGTGAGTAAAAGTGCTTTCTGAGGAATAACACGTACATATGGGGCAAAAAAATGTAACAGAGCAACAGAGTGACTGTGAGAAGAGACTGTCTGAAATGTCCGCACAGGAAACTGAGACATGAACAGGTAGAGCTCACCTGTTTCATCTGTAACATCTACATTGTGTCCTAAATCTAAGACAATGTGTGTTTGCTCTTCCATCATCAGGCTCTAGTCCATCATCAGTGGGATGTCTTTCCAAGAAGCATGCTCTGCAGCTGCTTGATCCTGCTTTCCTGTGGCAGCGTTAGGCTGTTCTCAGCTCGCTCCTCTTCCTCCAGCAGCTGCTCGATGTAGCAGGAGGAGCCCAGCAGGATGTGGCCTGTGGCCTGCATGGAGAAGATGGTCCATCGCAGAGCCTCCCTGGAACAGCAGCGCAGAGAGTGAGAGTGGTTGTAGATGACAGACACATAAAAACACAGCGTTTTAGTAACTTGGCATATACACGTGTATGAGAATATCATGAACGTAATTTCTTGAATAATTGTTGTAGAAAATGAAATGGACAAGCGTGACAGACCAGCACCACCTGATGAGAAAACAACTGACAGGAAGTATCAGATCATTTCTCACATTAACTGCATCTCAGAAAAACCGACATCCAAGAAAGCAAACCTCTTGCGGTGCAATGCGAGCGCAAAAAGCCTTATATCTGACAAGTCTGCAAAATTTAATCCTCCAGGACAGAAGCTCTGTGCCAAAGCTGAAAACCAGCAAAACTCAGCAGCAATGACATAACTCCTCCAAAAATTAATCTCAGTATAATCTAGCCTTTGTTCTTCTGCAATCTGATCATTTCATCTCCACTGCCACCCACACAGCAATAAACAATGAAATATGAATTTAGACTTGACATGTTGGGGGTTGAGTGCAGACTACTGTAACTGGTGTTAATATCTTATAAAAACAGCTGATATACAGCAGATAATTGAATTATTAGTGGGTGGCTACATTGAATAAATTGATAATCCATTTGGTAATATATGGATTACAAACTCGTAAAAATGGGTCTGTAACCGCATTAAACTATTATTGTTACTATCCAAATAATGCCTCAGTAAAGTCAACAGAAAGATACTTTGACATGAAGATAAAATAGACGCATCAATTACATAATAAGTCAATACAAAAGCATGAAAATATCCAAAGGTTACAGGTATTTGGCAGGCTCTTTCACTCACTTCAGTATACTTTTGGCAGCGTAACAGCGCAGGTCATAGGACACAGAATAAGCACCGTACAGGGTCGCTTTCACATTCAGGCAGCCAATGAAATCCTTAGGGTTGCTCTTATATAGGTCAAAAGTCAGCTTGGCCACATCTGTCCGGTGCTGCAGCCTGCACTTACTGAGCTGATCTCTGGAGGGGCTGCTCTGCGAGGCGACAGAAGAGAAACATAAGTCAGGTCAAAAGGGTGCAGACACTTTCTGTTGGTGTGATTGCATCCACCAACAAAATGACAGCATCCAGCTCCACCAGCAGACAGTTGGTTTGCCAATAACGACGGGAAAGGTACATGACAATGGAGCAAGGTCAGAGTGAGGTCACTTGATTACACATTTAGGGAGGGGGATGAAATCACTCCATGCATACATTTCTATGGAAATGAATTGCTTTTGGGTGAACACCATTCAAATTTGACAATGCCTCCGAGTCTGATTCAGTCCAGCCTTTGATTCTTCTACAAAAATGATGAAGGAAGAAAATAATCGCCCAGTGTTCTGCCTTTGCGCAATAACTGACACATTACTCCCCTATTCAGTTTGAAAGAGCAAATATTTGCTGAATAAATTTCACTGAATAGTTAGTATATATCATTCCTCAGTCTATAGACCCATGCACCATCCATATTCATAGAGCTGCATTAAAGAAACAGATACTTCCCTATCTGTTCCGTCACTACATCAAAGAATCACTGGCATTACAAACACTGAATACAAGTAGATGATCCAATATATGTTAAACACCACACTGTGCAATTCGAAAGCCGAAGCAGCTGATCAACAGTGTCACCTAGTGGTTGATGTGAAAAGTGTCAAACACTATCGTACTGGATGTGGGGTCCACTTCTGGCCCTTCTCCAGGACCACGAGGACAGCGTTTTCAGGCAGCGTCTGGAAGAACTCCTCTGTGTCCACCCCTGTTCCATCTTCATCCAGCACCAGGTCACTGACACACTGTACACCCAAAGAGTCACTGGCCTGACAGAGCACACACATACACACATTAAATCAGCAGAAAAAAATTCAGATATGGTCCATTACACAGAGACAGAGCATTATAATAGTCAGATACACCTCGGTCTTGTGAACTTTTACCAGCATGAGTCTGGTGTGGCAATAAGTGAGTCACAGGTCAGTCAGTCTGTGGTCATTTTTAATCCTCGACACAGACCAGGATGTCTGCCTGCTTCCTCACTATATCATTAGTCTCAATGTTCATCCACTCTCCTCACCTTGTTCATCAGGTCTTCCAGTGTCTCTGCAATGATGCCCTTCTTCACACTGCGCTCACTGTTTGTGACCCTGAAGGGCCTCGGACGAGGAGCTCGACCCGACAGGAGCTGCTGGGTCATGGAAGCGCTGGCTGAGACGCTTGCTGACACACACCTGAGAAAAGATATAAGTTCATAATGTAAAACTATCCTATCCACTATCAACTGGTGACAATGTTGACCATCACATCCAACTGATGGAGCGGTGCTCTTACTTGGAGAGAGAAGACGGAGTCAGAAGGCTGAGGGACTTCATGGCGTAATCCATCTGAGAGCACCTTCACCTGCAATAGGAAGTAGCATCAGTTTAGACAACACATCACCAACAAAGAGTAACATTACTAACAGGCATCACAGAAGGAGCAAGTAGCAGCTTTGAGTTAAGTTCATTAATTTTACATTTCAGCTAAAAATGAGGAAAAATGTAAAAGTAAATTCTTCTTCACCTCCACGTGTGAACCATTATAACTAAATCTAATCTGTTAAAGAAAACCCTTTTCTTCAACTACTCTTACAATAATGTCAAGACAAAAATCTACAAGATAAATAGAAAGATGACACTTCAGCAGCTATTGCCTTACAGTGGTGTTCCTGAAGTGCTGCTCCGAGCTCTGTTGTCACCACTGAACCTCTCTGATAACACACACTCTTCTCTGGTGGCTGTTTCTTGCACCACTTGCTCACTGAACTTTGTGCTGATGACTGTTGAGCTAGTTGCAAGCTGTCAGCTTTATTGAGTAATTCTCTGTGAACACTCCCACTAACCCTCCCCTGTAGAAGCCCTGGATTCCAGTCTGTTATATACAGAAATAGTTACATTAAAATAAAAGCCAAATAGCTAAATCAGTTTCCACCTTAACTCTAGTGGTATGTAGCCCGCCAGATAGTTTTGGTTTAATGTGTCCATAGAGCAGCCGCTGTGGACAGTTTTCATTGGAACTACTTCCTATAGAAAAAATAGTCTCTGAAAACAAGGATTACCAAAATACATTGTTATTGGAAAGATTTTGAAGACATTAAAATGGTAATTTTTCTGGGCTTTGAGAAGTACAAACCAAATTCAAATCACCCCCACTGTATTGTATACATTTCTATCTGCATGGCTAAATAGCACTTGGAGTAAGTAGATGTTTTGTTTTAATTTGTATGAATAGACCCTTTAAAAGACAACACAAAAGGTATGTGAAATGATGAAATGATAAAACGATGAGGTCTTGGTTACTATAGATAGAGCTTGTGGTCAAATTGTTTGTTTTTCTTCATATAAATATGATTTCATATATATATATATATATATATATATATATATATATATATATATCTTGACACTAAAATTAGACAAAATTAAATACTTTAATGCAGTCAAAAAAAAAAAAATAGATAAATGCAGAAATACAGGTCTCTGGGTACTGCCTACATTTTAATTCCAATCATTTCAAAAGGCGGAAAAAAATTATTTTCTTTCATATAGACCTACTCAAACATCATCTTCTTAAACAATTTTGATAAATTTCCCAAATGAGCTCATCGTTCAATGTTCACCACGTTATCTTACGCATTTGTGTGTCAGCTCACAAGGAGTGTCAAGACCTCCCAGTGTAATCACATTGTGTTACACAATGCTGAGGTCTGAGATCACCTGTGTATACACAACAATTAAACCAAGGGATTGATTATGTGACAGATATCTTACCTAGGTACAATCCTAAAACCTGCTGTTTCAGGAGGAAAAATCAGAGCCAGAGCTACTATGATAGTTCAGGAGTATCAAAACATGTCAGACAATCATTGTTTCACTGTAAAAAAAAAAAAAACCTCTCAGAAGTGACCTGATAAGACCTCACTTGCACACTGCTGTAACACCAAGAGATATACTGCCACACTTAAATCAACTTTAGTTCAGATGAAAGACCAGAGAATAAAGACTCTAGTCACACTGCGGTTCTCTCCCTCAGCTCATATGCCTTTGCCAGTGGCTGTATTTCACACAGTCTGCGAGACTGAAAGTTTACACACAGCTGAGCAGCACATCATTCACTCAGTGGCCTCCTTTTTTTTTTTTTTTTTTTTACCGAAATTAGGAGAACCTGAAACCACCTTCATTACAAATAAAGATAACCCAATACCACCGTAGCACGAGGCTGTTTGTAGTAGTAGAAATGCTCTGGTTTCTGTAAAATATGTGCACCACCAGAACAAAATATGATTAAAAACCCAATTAAAAGACAAAAGTGGAACAGGGCAACAGTAAAATATTCAGACTTACTTTCACCCTGTCTGTTCCTGCAGTACAGTGCCTCCACATGAGCTAATTAACAACACCTGGGTCAGACTGATTAACGACCAGTCTGCGCCATTTTGGCTCCTTTCCCTGTTTGAGCACTACTATCCAGAGAGGAAATGGGCTCAATGTTTATATTTGACAGTATGAGGAGTTGTCTTTAGACAGACTGTAAGCTAATAGAGTGAATAGTTGAAGACCTGTAAACTGCAGTTTGTGGGTGGAAGAGAAACAACGAGGACATCATGTGGACAAACGACAAACTGCTTCAGTTTAAACTGCAGCAGGTAGGAAACACTTGCTGTCTCTGGGTTCATTTACTGCCCTGGACCTCCTATACTTGACTGAAAGTAGCCACAGTGTAACAAAATAACCTCTCCAGTGCAAGATAAAAAGTATTGTATTCAATAAATCACTTAAGGAGAAGTACAGAAGTAATAGCAACAAAATGTAGGCCATTAAAAGGCTACATATTATTCATAATTAACCCTTTCATAATGTGACCATTTTGCACAGCCCATTGTTTATTTATTAGTAATTAGTAATTAGTAAATAGTTTATCAGTAATTAAGATTTAATGTGTAAGTTGCATTTTAATGTTGAATTTGGTCGAGGTGGAGATTTCAAAAACGTTAAATGCATTTGGTAGTTGTAGTGCGGCAGCTTGGTTGTATATTAATACTAATAATAATATATAATAATATTGTGCAATTACAAACAGTATTTTGTTAAAGGAAGACAGCCATTAGTTAGCAAGTGTGAGTGTACAACCTGAGGCCTGACACTGTGGTTGTCATTGTAGCACAAAGAGAGTGAAGTTTGACCACCTACTCCTTTTATTTGGTTTTAGCTTTTCCTCAGTAAACATTTTAAAAAGCAGCCTTAAAAACATAAAGAGGAAAAAAAAACATCTGATCTAATCAGCTTGAACACAGCTTTACAATCAGGACTGCAGGGATATTTTTCACCTATTTGGCTGCGCCTGATATCTATAACTTTATAACATTTAACATATAAACCTACAACTGGGCCAAATGTGTTGCTTTTGATGTAAAATTCACAATTGATTTGCTTAATTGCCTCACTATTTAGTCTGTAACAAGGCATCACATTTAACAAGATAATCATATGTTAATAGAACAATTCTGTTTGTAACTGGTAACTATCAGATAAATGTTGTGGAATAAAAGGTAGAATACTTTTGAAATGTAGTGGAGTACAAGTATAAAGTAGAATAAAATGGAAATACTAGTACTTAAGTACAGTATCACTGGCATTTGAAACAGTTTGGGTTCAAGTTTATTTCATGTAATATTAGCAGCTGTAGCAGAAATACATTGTCAAAGCCGATCTGTGAGACCATTTAAACCCAAACTGATAAAGATTGTGGTTTCTCAGAGGACTGCACTCATTACATGAAAGTGTTTATTGTGATATCTGCCTAATGATGAAACCTTTTACTATTTTTAATTTAAACTGTAACATTTGTGCACATTTCTTCTCTAGACTACACAGCCATAGTGTGGTGGGAAAACCTTTGCTTCTCAAGAAACAGCAAAGAAGCTGGTTTCCTTTAGTTCATTGCCTTTAATAACTGCTGTAACAGAGGCCTGAGAAAACCATTTAGGCTTCCCTAAATAGATTATTGTTACAATATTTTCATTGCAATATAAACAACTCTGTGCTCCTTAACGCAGCTGGGGCAACAGTCAAATGCTAATGCTTACAGTGATAGCTGCGTCATATAATATAAATGTCTTGTAATATGTGCACTGCAGTGGCTTCAACTATTATGGAACTGAAGCTACCACAGCTTGAAGTGATATAAGAAATAATTCCAGCTCATAAGCTGACCAGCGTAAAAAACACACTCAAATGTAAATCAGATGAGCCGTTTATTTCACTCTGTTGATCACATTTCATGCTTACTGCAGGAGCACAGATGAATCACGCCACAGATATTAGTGTCGAGCAGATAAGGCATCAGACTTAAAATAGCTGTGACTTGTTTGCCAAATGTAGTATTTGTAAACAAAGGTTCTGTAGAAAGGGTCTGTTCTTCTTTCAGAGGTCAATATCCTGCCCATGTCTTTGTCCTGTTATCACACATCAGACCCTGCCGCGGGTGACGCAGGCTCTTTTGGCTCAGACACGTTCATTTGTGCTTTATGGGCTGCTGATGCTTGTAATTATACTAAGCGTGCCTGATATCAATGCAGAGTGAAATGAATTAGACTTGAGAAGAAAATATGATTATCATATTGGATTTAATTGAACAACCTTTTCTTTGAATTCAAGATTACACATGCACAACACAAGAAACAGATTTCAGAACCCGATCACAGTCTTTGGCCCATGGGTGAATAATCTTTGAGACAAAAGACCAGCCTCCTCTTACATTGTTTACATTGTCTTTTTATGTTTTACGTCATTCTTTCTAATTACTTCTGTTTCAAGAGTCAGTCCATGGAGTGGTTAGGTGTAGAATGAGGTAATATAATCATTTAAGTAAGTCTTAAGTATAAAAGTAAAGCAGATCTAAGCTCTAAAGGACAGATGCTGACCACAATGACTGATTTCACCTGAACTAACATTGTTTCTAACCAGGTGCCACAATGTAAGAAGTTAACTCTTCTTTTGAGGTGAGACTTTGTCCATCAAGCCCCTGACAGCTTCCAGGGGCCCCGCTTCTTACTTCCTCTTTCCTATTCGCGCCATCAGTTCTGCATTGGCTGCTGCCTTGGTTCTCATGTCCTGGTTCTTGGCCAGGTCTATGAGGACACTGAGGATGCTGGTGGGAACATCGAGGGACAGGGCGAAGCGGGACCCCTGCTGGGCTCTCTTTGGCACCTGGGAGGCTGGGCGCGGGGCTCGTGCTCGCCGGAGCACAGTGTGATACTCTGATCGGAGCAATGAGTTCAACACACCGCTGCGGTTTAGGATGTCAATGGCCAGCACGTCCCTCTGTGTGTCTTCATCGAGTTTGGCAAGAGCAGGACTGCTCCTCTGGCTCTGGACACACCATGGCAGCAGCAGAGCCAGGCAGAAACACACACGCACACTTCTCATGGTCAGGACTCTGTCTGCTGGGAGAGAAAAAGAAGAGCAGATCAGCCAGTGGCTCAAAATTACACAACTGTGACACTGCACACACTTCTCCCGGTGATGGCATGCAGCAATAAATTTCTTTGGAATAATGTGACCAAAGAAATCATCTGAATGGCTTTTGGATAGGAATTTTGACGAATTGCAGCAGTATAATGATTATTATAGTATTTTGTACCCAATGTATTATCCATCACTAGGAACATCCAGGTTAGATTTACATTTCAGTAGTCTCTACCAATGCACACATGGAGATAAATTCAATGATATATGATCCACTATCCACCGTGCACTAATTTGAAAAATACCTTCCAAAAAGACAAGAAAGCATGCAAGTTATACAGTTTTCTGCAGAGCATTTTAGATTCTCCAATATTTTGTCCTCTTAGCCTATAAATAATCTTTATTATTTTCCAATAAATCTGGCACTATTTTTGGACATACGTACAAATAAACCTGGGTAAGCTTTGATCAAGTGTCACAATCCCAATCAATACTTACTCGGTTTCACCACTGTGAAAAGTTGGATGAAAAGGCACTTCTCCTTGCTCTGGTCTAAATCAGGGCTTTGGTAATGATCTCTTGTCTTTGACCCTCAGATATCCTGTGATGCTGTATCCCGGCTTCTTCTGGAGCTACTGGAGTAGCGACCTGTGTGGCACGCAGTCGGATGTTCAACTGGACTTGTGCCTGCTCGTCCACGATTTTGTCTTCATTCACGTCAGTCTTCGGCGTAACACTGCCCCTTGTTCCCTTCCCTGTTTATCTTTTACATCTCCACACCCCATCACCCTCCCCACATTTCATCTCATTTCCTCTACACTCATTGCCATCTCTCTCTTTCTAAAAATAACACTATGGTAATCACAATAGTTTGCCTGTATTGAATTAGACAGTTGCCCCAGTCTGCGGTCAAAGCACAACTAAAACCCACCGTCTCCATTCAAAAGTACCAACACACTACAGAAACATTTCACTCTCTTAACATGGTGTTAGGATGTGTTGTCAGACTGGGTGACCACAGTCTCATCATTATAGCATCTATTGTGTTCCTGTGATTTCTAATATTAGCTTGTTTTAGGACTTTGAGTGAATGTATGCACAAATGTTCATAGACATTCAGATTTATTATTTATCTTATCCTCGTGCAATTTTGACTGATACCTTATCTTACGTCTCTTTTTTTTTTGGTAAATACAGGATTTTGACTCCATGTTATTCTCAAAAGAGAAACAACCTGAAAGACGATTTCTAATCTTTAGCTCAGTTGATCACCCGGATCTCTGAAACAATGCTCAGAGGACAGAGGGATCTACCAATGGCCTCATATTGGCTACCTAACCAGTATGTTCACCTTGACAAGACAATCTTTGGCAAAGGGTGAAATTATTTCAAGGCCTTATGAATCTCATGCAGGCACAGTATACTTGTTTGTTTTGTTTGGAATTTTACTAAAATAGCATGTTTTCGCATCAGCTAGTCAGACTATAGACAAATGTCTGGGACCTAAAACAAGAAGCCTACGTCACAAACTCCAAAAAAAGCCAGTTCTACATGAAAGAGCAGACCAGGATTCGTCCACATTACTGTGACAGTGATTCAATTCTACGGCCACTAAATGTGGCCTCATCAATTAGAGTTTAGGGAGGCGATTGCATTATTTAAAAATAGGATTTATGTGTTTCGTAATAACGGAAGTAGAATAAAAGAAATGTTATTTTGAAATGATAGGCTTAATTGAAGACCCAAATATCAGTACAAGCTCTATTTACCGATGTTGTCAACTTCTCAGAAGTTGCCGTCACAGCTATTTGCACGTGTCTTTGTGGCATCTTAAAAAAATTGCCAGGTATGACATTCACAATGCTGGGCACTAGGGCCAGTTAAGGGAACATAATGTATGAGTACACACATATTTCTATTTACAGAACACAGAAGAACACTCATAGAGAAAGCCCTCTGGAGGACAACAAGGAGTAAGAGGCTGTCAGGCCCAGGAGGGAGGCTGAACAAGACAAAACCTACCTTATTTCCTGAGTCACCTCCAGTCCAGCCCATCAAGGGACTTATCCTCATCTGACTAATGATATGAATAATACAAGTACAGCCCAATTACAATAGTTGGGCCCTCGGGGGGCCCACAGGATTACGAGCCGTCTCAGTTACCCTCAGATAAACAAACACGGGTCACACAAATGTCACCCAGCAGCAAACAGATGTTCTGGGTCGTATACCAGTAGCATTCACTGTCACAGATACAGCATGACGCAGACTACATATGAATCTAAGATGATGTCATCTCTATGATTCAAGATACAACATATATATCACAGCAGGTCTGGGTTTATAATTCAAGTAGCCTACTGACGTAAGATCTGGGTACATTAAACTCAATCTATCAGGAAGCATCTCATCACAATTACTCTGATCACTGATATAAACTTGATTGTTCTGTCCACTTAACTTGACTATATGGTTCAATTCAAGTTATCATAGCAAAGCAAATTGGTAGTAAGTACACTGCCTAGATCACAGATTAGCCTGATATATAATCAGAAAACAGAACACAGGGACAGTGAAAAGAGGACAAGTGTAAAACATGATATTGTGAGAGCAGCTGTGCTCATCTGTGTCATCTTTGTTTTCTAGGAAACCAAAGACTACTAGATAGAATAAGACTCAAGTCTTTGATGTATGGCTTTAGGTTCTAGCAATATTCATAGAAACAGGCCTACAAAATTTTTCTTGTCATCCTTTTGGCTTTTTTATACTTATTTTCCTAATCTAAATGTAAGGCATTTTATTGAGTAATTATGTGACTAATGATGCATCAAAATAAAGTTATATATACACTCATATATAGAATGGAGTGAACAAAGGATTATCGTTATGCTTACATGCTGTATTTTATTGCTCATTAAGGTTGTTTTTGCTTGCATTTTACTTGTACCTGTGTGTTGTTTGCAGTTAGAATTCTAACAGACCTTTCCCAAATTAAGCAATAACCAAAAAAACATTGCAGTTGACCAGAACTTACAAAATGTACTTCATACGTTGAAAAGCAATACACCAGATACAGTACATTACCAATGTACTGTACTGTACATATGAATGAGACAAACCACATTTGGCCAATGTTTTACAGTATTTTAATTGTCGGAATGAGAGCTTCTGTTATGTACAATAGAGGACAGAAACAAATCTTACAGAAATTATAAATATACTCTTGCTCCGAACTGGTTGTATTTAGTACTGGTTGTACTGTTTCCAGTAGATGATTATTTACTATTCAAGTCCACCCTCTCTCCCCTCCCCTCTCCAAGTCAGTACCAGGTGGTGAGGACCTGTGTAGTACCACCGAGAGGTAACAGAGGTTTAATTTTGATACAATGTCTCTCATGGCTAACTAAGAGTGATCAGTGGGCGGGATTTGAAAGGGAGGTGGGGAGAAAAGAGATGATGGATGGATGGCTGCCTGTACGGTCAAGACAACGTGGACAATGCTCTGGTATTCGGTGATGACACGGTGAGGAGAATATGAGGAGCAAACACACTCGGTGCAACAAAACAACTTCTCTTAAAACCTCAGCCAGTACATGGCACTGCGCATTCTGTTGTAGTCAGGTAGCTGTTCGACTGGGCCTGGTGGAGATAGGCAGGAGGGACATATTAGATCACATTATTACAGCACGGGTCCCTTCGTTGCTGCTGAAGGACTAAAACCAAAAAGAACTCACCGACAGCTGCCACAGCAGGACACTTGTCGTAGATATATTTAGAGCAGATGTCACGCACCATCTTAGGGGTCACAGCCTGAAAAGAAGAGATGTGGGGGGGAGTCAAGACTTATTCCTGAGACAGACTACACGAATTTAGTCAAATGTGAAATTGTGTGTCAACTCACGTCGATTCGAGCATCCCACTCTGCCAGAGGAATACGGCGTCCATAGTTCAGGATGTGTCTGCCAATGTCATCACAAATAGGTGTTGTTCCTAAAAGGAAGAAAAGGTGTGTTGACATAAGATTTGAAGGAGTGAGTATGTCTGTCTGTATGAATGCATGACAGACACATTACACACCATTGAGCTGTCCAACAAGGCTGGCCTTCAGAGCATTCTTGCCTCTGGCAACATCACTCTCTGTCACCGTGGTACACAGATTCATCCTGTACAGAAAGGGGGGGGGGGATACAATGAAATATGTGCATTGTCCTGTAATTATAAACAATTATAACAGAATGCAGTTATGGCATGTCTGTCCTGGAGTTATTACTGACCAGGCATTCTGGGACCAGTGCATCATGTCTTCAATGTAGTGCTTATCAGCCACAAAGTGAATGCCCAGCAGGCCGGTGTCGCTGTAGGAGGAGTGGAAGGCCTGGAAGCTATGACACAGTTTCTCCTCCACTGCCAGGCGAGCCAGACGGCTGCTCAGATGCTACAGGTGAGAGGAAGGAATGGATGTTGATATTCTACTGTACAGAAACTGTGTTAACAGAAGGGTCTCCCTCTCTTCTGAGGGTATGATTGAGCAACAGGTGTAGTGCAAGTACGTCTTCCACACCGCAAAGCTTCTTATTACAGCGTTTTACCACAATCCAACATGTTAATATTCTATTAAAAAATATATATATTTTTATTTTAGGGTTTGTTCCTCTCAACAGGTCCAGAGGCAGAGGTGAGACCCCTGACCCAGGTTTTTAGAGAGGATAATAGTCTACCCCTTAATAATGGCCACTCAAGACATCAACAACCTCAAGTGGGCAAAGCTTAAAGGGGAACCTGCAGAACCATTAAGATGAATTCACTTTTGGTCTAAATGGGAAACAAATCTGACTAACAAATAGTCTGAAACTAAAGTAAATGCAGTTGTCAAAGTAAAAAGCCAATGTAAATGAAAGTTTGACATTCTGTGACTATCAATACCTATGTACAGTATACCATCCAGTGTAACCGAGTGACCTTGCATTTGTTCTGTTACATAACCAAAAAAATAAAAAGAACTTAACTTACTTTAGTTACATTTGCCAATTTCATAGTTGTCTGTTCTTAACTGCATAAACTAAAACATTCACTAACGCACATTTCACCAACCTTTCCACCACCATAGGTGAGGTCAAAGCTGCCGATGATGGAGTTGGCCACCATAAGTGGCACGATGTCTGGGCTAGCAGCACTGGCCCCCTCCACAGCGATGGCAACATGTGCTAGAGGCAAAGCATCATCACGCATACGGATCTGAGGAGAGGCAGGAAAGGATCAGATCAACAAAAGAATTCATCATGACAGTGAAAATAATATCCCGAGCTATTCTCTATGCTCTGTCACAGGCCAGAATCACATGCATCTAGTGCATCAATCTCAAGTTAATTAACTTGACTCAACTTACAGTAGAATAAGAGATCATATAGTAAAGCACACAGAACAAAGAAAAATACTCAACACATCTCACCTCACTGCCTGTAAATCTGCAGGGTGACAGCAGAGGGATGGCATCTCCCTCATACTCAAAAGACAGGCCACTAAAGTGAGATTTGGCCAAACCGACCAGCTCCTCGTGGTTCACACCTGTAGAGGAAAGACATCGGATGAACAGAGTCGTTCCAGGAAAAGTAGAAATTCACAGGCGACCAGCGTGCCTCCTCAGAGTGTGTGTTAGGAAGACTCACCTCCAGCAGCAGTCAGCACCATGCGAGTGGCTTTGTAGTGGCTGTTGATGTAATCCACTAGGTCCTGGCGGGTCAGGGTCCTGGGAGAATTTAATAGAAGTTACATTGTGACAATTTATAATTATTTTAACATAATTACAGCACTTCACTGTTTTGACAGCAGTGAGCCTTTGAGGAAAGCAATTCTGAGATTGTGACTAATATTTGTCTGCGTGTCCTACCTGGCATTTTTGGATGGTCCCAGCACACTCTGTGAGAGAGGAGTGCCCTGGAAGGCTGTGGCATGCAGCAGGTCCAGGCAAACATCCTGGAGGTTACTCTCAACCTCCTCCAGCTCACGCAGCACCACACCCCTCTGCTGCTCGATCTCCGCCTCGTTCAGTGAGCAGCTCTGCACTACCTCTGACAGCAGCTCAACGGCTGGGAAAACACAGGTAAGAGGGGATATGCTCACACTTAGTTGCTGGCCCACACAGTACAAGGCCAAGTAACTGGGATTCTCCATCAGATATGTAAACATGTTAATCAGTTTATTCTTAATGCCTTCATCTTACAAACAAGAATGGGTTTTATTTTACAGCATCTCTGAAATCCGGTTATTATAAAAACTGGGGAATGATCAGTTAATTTCACTGCTTGGAAGCAGGTCATCTTACCTTTAGGCAGATCTTTAGCCAGGGTCTTCATGTAGTATGCAGTGTGCTCCCTGGAGGTGTAGGCACTCAGGTGAGCACCCATAGACTCCACCTGCTGCTCCAGGGCTGTCTGAGGGCGCTTCTTGGTACCCTGGGGGTTGAGAAGAAAGGTGAATGGAAGAAACTGTGTAGAGCTACCCCCAAAAACTTGATGATTTGTGTCAGTTGAGAAGACTGATAGGATAGGATTGTGAATCCGGACAGTCTGAGGCAGGGCAGCAGCTGCTCCATTGATGACTGACAGTGTAGCCAGCTATACTCTTTTGAACCAGACGGTGGAACGACTATCTACTGCCATCCACTGTGATTGACTTTTCGGCTGACAGTGCTGTCAGCAACCCGGCAGGAAAGACCCTCTGTGTCTTACAGGTAAAACGTGAGATTTATGTAGGATGATATAGGGGTTTAGTGTCGTGCTGAACTGAAAGAAAGAAAGGTTCTGAGTTGGGTATAGCCAAACTGTGTAATGGTATTGTTTGTCTAACAGGTAGACATAAAAGTTCAATGGGAGACTTAAAGATACACTGTGGAGTTCTTCAACCTCTAGTAGCACTGTGGAGCTGTGGGTCCCTGTTTTGCTTGCGCCATGCATGTGCATGAGGGTGCACGTGTACATTGGTGACAATACACAGTCCTACCAATGTTTTTACATTGTTCAACTGATCTACAGATGATAGCACTGACCCAATAAAGGCAGGCAAGAAGAAGTCTGCTAGTTAGTAAACATTAACAATGTAGATTTATAAGCCCTTTAAGAAAAATAAGCTTGTATAATAAGAAAGGAAATGCATCTTCTATGTTTATTAGACCTCAAGGATTCACACAATGTGTTATAGTTAGAAACACTAAATTAAACATAAGAATTATTTGTTTACAGGAAAAGTGCACAGGGTACCTTCAAGGTCATAAAGAATACCTTGAAAGCCATGTGCTCCAGGAAGAAGCCTGCTCCGTTATTCTTCTCACTCTCATAGCGACTGCCGACACTGATCCACAGTCCAACCTATGACAAGGAAGGCATATGTGAAGAATGGGGGAAATGTTAAACTACAACTCTCATATATGACATAATATTCAATGACAGTGAAATGGTGAGTCAATAAAGTGCCATTACAACCTGCTACATGGTTGTAAATAGACCCCCTTATTACTGTGTTCTTACAGTGCATGTGGCATGTCCAGTCTCCTCAGATGCAACCCTCAAACCATTGTCCAGTGTAGTGAGGTGAGTTTCAGGGGCTCCCACCAGGCTCTGGGCATAGCTGACTGAGGCTTGTCCCCGCCTCAGAGACAGCAGGATGGGCTGGAAGGGCAGAGACACCAAGAGTCATTTAACAATCCTGTACAAATGCTGGAACACTAGCAGGAATTTCTATTCCCATTGGAAAATCACTTTTATTTATTCCCATCCTCCATAGTAAAAAACTTTAAGAGATGTTATTGAGAAACATTTTGCACACACCTCCATTTCGCTATAGCTTGCTGACTGGTTCGACTACTACTACTGAAGCTAATAGGCAGTTTGTTAGTTAGCAGGATATCTCAAACTACAAAACAGTATTTTAGAAAGTTTAGCTATTATGTACTGCACACAATCTGGCACCTGTATGCCCTGATTCCCTATTACTATGTGATGCAGTACATGTGATGCAGATTTAAAATTTGGGGGGAGGGAAGGAGCAGAGGCAACCTGAACGCAGTCAACAGGTAACATGAGTCTTATGACTGCAGTCCACTGTCTGCATGTCTGAGTCACACTGTACTGAACACTTTAGGCCGATCCATTCACATGCAAAGTCAAGAGCTGAAATGTTTGTCACAGAACATCTAAACTTGAGGCTGGCAGCTGACCATGATCGACACCACTGCCATATTCTGATAAGCACTAAAGAAATGACTAAAAATAGACACAACCAGAAGATAATGTCAGTATATACAAGTTATATTCAGACGTAAACATGTCAATGATCTATCATACCCTTCACATTGCACTGTAAACAACAGGATGTCAATATGGAAGTATTTTAATATTCAGATGGTATTTTAGATTTTTTTTTTAGTTGTAGCTGTTTATGAGAACAACCTAAGATGACAATCTGTGTTTAGTACAAATGTAACGTTATGTGCAATCATAACAAAATATAACAAAACCTGGAAACACTGCCAACGCTAAAGCTAACGTAGAAATAACATCAGACGTAGCTGTGCCCTGTTTAACACATCACTACACAGTGTCTTCATGTTCAACCTGTAAAAGTCCGTGATCAACAATCAAACATTCAGACGATCATCAAAAGTACAGGATCCTCCTCAGTGAACTCAGTGTCTCCAAAGTCACCATGCTAACGCTGCTAGCCCGGAAGCTTACCCTCGGTCTGAGGACAAGTGAGAAATGTTCCCGCTGCTGACCTTGTGAACGACCACAGACGACTGAACGACGGCCACATGGTCCGAGTAACACGTACATAAAGTGGACTTTACACATCGAGTGGTTGTTAAAGGACACACTGCCACATCTGACAGGTGACCTTGCATTCACTGCTGGCTAACCAATGCTAACCGGTTAGCATAGCCCCTTCCCACTGCGGAAAGCCCAGTTAGCTAACGTCAGCTAGCTAGTTAGCCTGTTAACTTAGCAAGCGGACATTGCTCTTCGACTACTTTCAGCTTTACGCCGGGGCAAGAGCAGTACCGGGATCCCGTTGGGCATCTTGTGTTACTAAAAGCTAATCTGCTTAGCCTTTAAAGTTGTACTTACACTGCGGTTTTTGGCAAGGGCTCGACCCACGGTGCTTCCGACTCGGCACACTGACGCCGCCATTTCTCAGTAGGGTTACAGAAGGTGGAGGAGGCTCTCGGCTTTCGTGTGTCCTTTCTTCTTCGCCGTCATATGAACATGTGCGCTGTCTCTTCAGCTGGACACTGTCGCCACCGACTGTTCATTGGGAGTACTCCCAGAGACCTTACTGTCACTTTGGTGATGTATCAGGCTCCTTTGATTTGTAGTGTTAATCTCAACTTCAACATGAGCTGTGACCGATAATAAAATAAGCAATTCCAAGGCTACATTTCTCGTCATGTCATACTGCTCTAACATTTCATTTTCTGTTCTTCTTGAGAGACATCCCTGCGTCCCCTAAGTGACGGGATACTTCAATTTCAGTCATTTTCTCATTCTTGGATTCATTGCTTTATAAAACCTTCCCTCTTCATTTCTCCCTGTGCATCATACTCTCTACAAAACCACACACTCTCACTTATTAGGTGTTGACACTGTTTTGAGTTTGACACATATCTCATTTCTTTCTACAGTTAGCTGACCTTCATTATCTCTCTCTGTCTCTTGTCTCTGGAATTAATCCATGCTCTCATTTCCACAAAGACATACAGAAACTTGACAATCCTTGGTGATTTACCCTTTAGTGTAAACAATTTTGTGCGTAAATACTGGCAGCTGCTGAAGAAAAAGCATTTTTCTGTGATAAGGTCCACCCAATTACAACAAAACACATTGTCTCACTTTACCCCTGATGTATCAAACTATATAGTAAGCTTGTTTTTATTTACCTAGATTTTTGACTTCAGTGCAATGGAGGTGAACAGAATTTTGTTTCTGATGAAAAATGGCATTTAAGGAATTCAACAGCAACATTCCTGAAACAGTTTCCCCAGTGACTCTGGATAATCCACACACTTTGCTGTGAACATGTAATGAAACTACTTTCTACCAAACAAATACTCCTTATATAAATTGTTGACAACCTGTGGATGATCCAAATAAGAGGGGCACTGTTGTATTAAATCAGATGACTGAATCAAAAAAAAATGTGAAAATCAAGACATGGGAATTTATTCAGTTGTGACTTTATATTGAAGTAGGCAGACAACCCTGCAAACAGAGAGTTCAAACTGAAGGAGCATGTAAATGATTTGGTTAATAAACCTTCTTTTGAAAGTTTTTTTAGGCAGTCATGGTGCTGGCGGCTGCTGGCAAAGACTGTTTTTGAACAGTAATCTCCAGAGAAGGACCTTGGTGCTTCTCTATGGTGCAGGGTTGGACTTCCTCTTGGCAGACTTTTGTTTCCTTTGATTTCCTCTTCCACAAAAATACAGAGTGAGGCTGTGCACTGAAGGGCAGATGGATGGACCTCACAGTCATTGGCAGGAGAGGTAAGAAGGTTTCGATAGAGACGGGCACAGGCGGCTCAGGAGGAAGAAGAGGAGGTGGTGGAACATGAGCGTTTTTGAGCGAAGACTCGGCACTCTTTAACAACACCTTAGGTAGAGGCTTCACTTTATCTGCAGCTAGTTCCCTCTCCTTGACGGGACCTCTGTGTTTCTGTGCTGAACGGTTGGGGGACCCCAGTGGAGGAAGGGGGCAGGGGCATTTGATCTTGAAGCCCTCAACAAGTAGGTTGACTCCTACATACTGTGGCACTTCTACTGCTGCCTGGAGACCAAAAAGGACATCTAAAGTATTCTGTATCACCCTCACAATTTTGCTAACTTTAATGTATACTATAACCTGAAGAGGAGGGGAAACTCTTCCTTACCTGCCTATATATGAGCTGAAAGTCTCCGGTGTTTGCAGTGCGGTCTGCTCTCCGGTCCAGGACAACCCGTAGTGTGTCTTCCTGCACAGCAGTGCAGAGGCGGGCTGTCACAGGGGTGGAGTGAGCCATTGTGGGACTGGCATTGATTTCTATCAGCCATGGAAGCAGGTTTCGACCTAAGACACACATACCAAAGTATCTAAGTGGTGATGAACCTTTTGTTTTCGTAGTAAAGGTAGATAAAAATCAATATAAAAGCAGTTTTAAAATATAAGATGATGCATGTTGAAACAGGCAGTATAACATATAACGTAACATGTACTTCACAGTGATTGCATTCTACCTAACATGAAGTCAGCACCGTAGAGCTCAAATGTGTTTTTGCGTGACTCCATCAGATCCTGTGTTGTCTGTAATGCGTGGATCACTGCCTTCTTCATCCCCGGGACTACCACAGTGTGCCACTGAGCTTCCCGGCCCTGGCTGGACAGAAAGCTCTTGAACTGGTCATCCGACCACATATTGTCTGCAGGGATACCTCGATGTCGCTGTTTGGAGGGCCTCAGGTGCCTCTGGATAGAGTTATTGCACAGGTGGACAGAGCTGAAAGGACAGGGTTAAGAGAGAGATTGGAAAGAGAAATAAGTGGAAATGGACATAAGTATAATGAGACATGATGAGATGTCATCATGTCTGTTACAACTACTTCTCTCCAGTTTGTCTTCAAACCACTTCTAAACCATCTGACTATGGTAATATTAACCATGTGATCAGACACCTTTAGTTATTTTTACAGTATTCAATTAACACATTTTTTATTTGTTGTTTATAATTTGTGCAACTTTGGTGGACGTAGAAGCAATCTTGTATATACTGATAGTGTGCAGGTGTTTTAGAGGCAGTTGGCAGTTTTGGGTTCATTTGAATGTTGCTAATTTCAAAGACAGCGAATACATAGAGTTTTGAATATACCCAGAGGATAGCAGCTTTTTCAAAAGCAGATCTCCCGCCAAAAGTGACAAGCATAACCACCCACAGTGCTGCCTTTTTTTTACTCTGTATCTTTCTCTCAGTTCCCCTTTTTAAATTTAACATTCAACTGGTTTCACATCTGCTTCTTTCTTAAATTTTTGGCCCATCCCTTTATTAGTATCACTGTCTTACCTGTCCAGTGTATCTAGCGAGTAAGGCTGCGTAGAAAAGCGCAAGTAGCACTTCTTATAGAACCACACAGTCAGAGGGTTCCAGTCAGTCACCAGGAACCACTGGCGCAGGTCAAATTTGGTGCCATGGACCAGCAAGGGGCACTCCAGGTACTTCTGCACCACCCACTTGCTTTCCGTGATCAGAGTTGGATCAGAGTCCACCAGCCTGAGGATCTGATCCAGACGCTTGGCGCATTTGATTCCTGGAGGGCAGGTGTAAAGGGTCAGCCAGGACTATGGCAGGTATTATGTGAAGTGTCTGACAGTGTCTGACTTCTCACCTCTGCCCCTGGACATAGCTCCAGGTTTGATGATCCATATGTTGTGTATGCCGTCTATGTCCAGCTGTGGACTGACCTCCGCCAGCCTCTGCAGCATGGCTTTGCAGCATGTCACAAAGTGATCACTGTTCTCAATTTCTGCTCCGCCACTGAGCGAGGAAACACAGAGACTGAGTGTGAGATACTGAAGAGCACTTTAGTTTTCCAGTTACCCTTTACCATTAACACGCAGACACTGTACTCACTGAACAACGAGGTTGTAACTGTCAATGAACTCTGCCCACTCCTCCTTTGTAAGTGTTTGTGGTGTCTCCAAGCTTGTGTCTATGTCTCTGTGCTCTATACTCTCCAGGTACTTCTGGCATACTTTGAGTGCGCTGTCCATCATTTTGGAAAGCACCACTGGTCTAGATCGCCGTTTTCTTCGTTTTCTCTGATCTAATGGTGGAGCAAAACAGTGATTACTTTATTTATTTAGCTACACTGACTGACTACACAGTCATGTGAGAGATGTTCATACCCTGAATGTTGTGGCTCTTTCCCTCTCCCTGGACACCCCGCTCCCTCTCCACAATGTACTTCAAAAGACTGGTGCAGGCTGTCCTCCTGTAGTCCTCTACACAGAGGGCAAAGACAGAGAGACAAGTATTCTAAACTTGGAAAGGTTGCCGGAAATACATTAGAAGTAGCTTATCTAGTTTGATGGGCCTTAATGTCAGATCTGACCGATAAAAGCTTGCTTCTCATCCTGTGCTCCTAGTCTGTAACAGCGGGGGAAGAAGGTGTCTGGGTCGGCTGAATCAAACCAGTGCAGGTTCCTCAGGTTCACACACAACCCCACCTGACAAAATAAGGACAAATATTGACAGGAGACCACTGAAAAGGATTGTTTTTCTCTAAGAACTGAAAGAAAAGAATATAAATGCACCTTGGTGGTGAAACTGCCTGCTTTTGCGAAATGATTGGTAATCTGTTCTTTCTGCAGGCTGTTGTTGTTGATGGCATCTCTACGATTGGTCCAGTAGAAATAAACCATTTCATTCCGCACCAGCCGAGACTGTATGAGAGAGAGGAGAGGAGAATCTGGGAATCTGCTGAATTTTGCCATTATGAACTGTAAATTTCCAAAATGGGTAACAACCTTTAAGTTGCTGTTCACCTTAGCCCCATGATAGCCCACAACCTTTAAATGTCATTTTTACCATGAGATCATATAGTCCATCTGCGTCCTGCTCTTCATTGTCTGAGAAGAGGAAGCAATATTAATAAATGATGGGATATAGACAGATATCCACACCAAGGAATAGAAGCAATATGATGTCTGAAACAGTCACAATTTCATCTAGCTCACCATCATTGTCATCGCTGTCACCAGCATCATTAGAGGTGGCCCTGCCCTCATCACTGTGACGACGCGGGGCATGGTGCTTTGAGCGTTGCGTACGCTGCTCAATCCAGCCTCTGGCCCTCAATCCTGCCCTGATGACAGGGTAAGGGCCTTGGATGGAGAATACCTTATGCATCTGAGAAGGCAGACACGAGACACAGAAGTGATGGACAACTTCTTGGAACAGTTAGAGATTAATATAACCATGGAAAGTTTTATATACATCCAGTAATGTAACTCACCTTGACAGCTTTGTCAGCAAAGGCTTTGGCTACCCTCAGTCTCTCTGGGTTAAGAACAGGTGGGCTGACAAAACTGCGGCGAACTTTGCCCTCAGGAGGTGTAGCTGACACACACACACACACACACACCACACACACACACACACACACACACACACACACACACACAAACTGCCGCTGTAAGAGTTAATGTTGCAAGAGTGTTGGTTGTCGTCTAACAGGGTATACCTACTTGCTTGCAGGCTTTTCCCCTCATCTAGGTTGCGTTGCTGGACCACAGCTGTGACCTTCTGATGCTTGGAGGGGCCTGCTGTTTGTCCTGCAGTAACATCAGGAGCACTGTCATACATCTTACATCAGTAAAATGGGCCATCACACATCCTACTCAAGCTCCTACCAAAAGCATGTTTATACCCAATGCCAGAAAGAGCATGTTGTAAGCTTCATATAATAAAAATGGCATCGCTTTGTTCGGTTGCATAGCATACCAACACATAGCAGCACATTCATTGCATGAAGGAGGGGAGTTTTTTTTACAGCTGTAATATATTGTGGACATTCAAAATGTCCACAATGATGATGAGTAAAATATACACCTGAACAAACCAAATGACCAAATATAACACAGAAGACACCATGACAGGGACACTATATCTAAAGCTTAAGGCTTGACATCTTCAGCTCAGAGCCAAAAGAGCAAAGTCATGAAACTTTAATTCATGGCCTCTGAGTTCAAACATTTGGCCACCTGTCCTGAGCGTGACCTCATGATTAATTCAGCATTTGCGATCTATAAGCTGACTCTATGAATGCAAAGGCCAAGACCTCTGGAGGTGTGAAGTGATACAGTAGAGACCTTTCATGTTTCAGAGTAGAAATGGGTCCCTCAGCAGCAAGTTACAACCTATTAAAAGGCCCAATCTGAAATAGACAATATAAAGTCATAAAATAATATTGACATGTTGAGAAATAAGCATTGTTTCTTTCTCATCTGGTCGCAATTGGAAATACAGGCTTGTGTCGACAAATTTGAGAGAAGTAGGTGGTTCCACCCTCTGATTAACACTTAGAAAACACATCTAAGTGATTTCCATTTTTTTGTTCAGACAGTGTTTCCTGTGTCTCTCACCACTGTCTGGGCATGGTGCCTGGTGTCTGTCCTGGCCCTGCTGGACAAACTGTCTGGACCTGGTGGCCTCCATAATACCATCAGCTCTCTTCTTCAAGGGAACATTTTCTCTTGCTCTGCTTCATGGCATGGTCAGACACAAACTGCTGCAGAAGACACACAATTTAGCATGTATGGGGCAACAATCCCACAGTGTAAGAGTGTGCACTAATAATGTGTACATATACAATGATTAAAACTCTGCAGGCGTCACACATCTCTAGCTAACTGTCAATCAGACTCTGTCCAAGTGCAGCGGACTATAAAGTGGGTCAAATTGCTGTGCAGGAGACAGCTTGGCTACACCTGTCAGGGTTGTACCTAACACCCCAGGCAGGGAGTGATACTCTGTCTGATTTCCTTCAGTCACCTGTTGAAGTCCAAAAAACAGACTCATATCCCAACAACAGAAATTCTTATTAAAATCTTACTCTTACTAACGTAATATCAGCCTGTGCACAGCACACAGGAAAAAATAAAAACATTTTTTGCTATGAAGTCACCACAAGTTACAGTTTTTAAAAGTTAACTAGCATCACATCCTCTCTAAAAGCAACCACAGCCCTCTCACTGTCTCTTTTTAAAACTTACTGTAAAGTCTCTAACTAACACACAACTAACACCACTAACTAATGTCTCCTGCACTGGGATATTATGTTACAGTAAACCTGTTCTATTTTAAGCAACGCTTCCACATGCTGGTCTAAGTTAGTGATTGTTCATCTTACCTGCCGAGGTCTAACAGGTGTATTACAGTAACTCCGGTGCCGGTTGAGTTTCACCGGAGGAACCCACGGTGCGCCCGACTCTCTACCTGTTTACTGTTACCATGGCAACCTCTGGATAGCTCAAGAGGCTGACACCAACAGCGGAGTTTATTTAGAGAGAGTTTTAAACGTTATCTATTAGACAAGTTTATAAAACCTTAAAATGTATACAAGACCATGGCGTTGTTTATTTTGACGTATTAAATACAATTAAAAAAACTATTCCGTTTGTTTATCCTGTACGTGTCTGTGGATGTATTCCACTTCCTACTGAAGATGATCTTAACGTTAATTTATGGAATACATTAAAGTCCTTATGTAACTTTATCCTGTCTAATTATATTTTGACATCTAACGTTACATTAATATAGTACTATACTTATATATAATACGCGACTTTAATTGCATATTGTGGTAATGCTGCGTTCACTGGTATATTAAGATTGAAATAACAATTTGTTAGTTAACTGTTGTGGAATATTTGAATGTTATTTTTCTAATGAATATTTCTCTCCGTTCAGTCGCCATCTTGGCTCCGGACGGCACAGGGGGAGGGGCTGCTCTACGTCAAGGTATCACGTAAGCGGTGGCTTGGTGAGCTGGATGGTATTGGCCCAGACAAGTCCCCGCTCCACATTCACACTTACACACTTACAAAACACACAACATAATACACATTATAGGTGCAACGGTACCGGACATAAAGCTGTACCATAACGCTCTGAGACAGGTAAGCCGAGCAATGTCACTGGTTCCTTTATAGCCAGTGAAAAATAAATGTTTGTTTCTTTAAAATAACTTGAGCTAACATGCTAGCAGTGTAGAAGTGTTGATAACGTTAACGTACTTAGCTTCGCCTGTGTTGAACCTCTTTCTCAGGTGGCTGAAAAGTTCCGTTTGAGGCGTAAAATGTGTGGGAGAACTGCGTGTACTCTTGCTCCCGACGAGGTGAGCCGAGCCTGCTCCTACAGAAACCGAGGGGGGCGGCGGAGACAGCCCCGCTGGAGGGACGGAGACGCCGACAAATACCGACCCTCGTACAACAAGAGCCCCCAGTCTATGAGTCCCGTCCTGCTGTCCCAGAGGCATTTTGATAAGGTAAGAACGACCGTCTCTGTACAGTTGTGTATGTACAGTTAAATTTAGTGCAACAACACCACAAGCTTTGAGCTCAAATAATTATGTTACTATGTCACACACTGTCTCAACACTATGGGGCGCAAACATGTACGTACTGCAGGGTTTTTGCATTGGATAGCATTATATAGTGCAAGTGTTCATGTTTTGGTGTTCACTCCTTTCTTGTCTGCAGAATGCACCTGTGGATGAGTGTGTGTTGGCCTCAATGCGCTGGGGCCTGGTACCTGGCTGGTTCAAGGAGAATGACCCGAGCAAGATGCAATACAGCACCAGCAACTGCCGCAGTGAGAGTATACTGCAGAAGAAATCTTACAAGGTACATGCACTTTAAGGCACTGCTAGGCCACATTAATAGTTCCTGTGTTGTATGTCTTGCTCTCGGTGTATGCACACAGTCTAATCAGAATGTCGTCTCCCCAAAGGACCCCCTGATTAAAGGACAGCGCTGTGTCATCCTGGCTGATGGTTTCTATGAGTGGAGGAGGCAAGAAAAAGGCAAGCAGCCTTTCTTCATATACTTCCCTCAGACTCAGGGACCTAGTCAGGAGAAAACAGAGAATCAGGATGTCCCCGCGACCTCAGCTCGCAATAAAGAGAATTCAGTGTGCCCTGCATTGGAGTCCTCCCCGGACTTGACAGAGGTTAGTATTGGGTTTTCTGTGGCAATATAAGCAAACGTGCTTTCATCCAGAACAGAAGTTCAGAGACTGCAGCTGTGGCGGAAATAACCTCTGCTGAAAATATGTGAGAGATGAGTCAAAGCAAAAATGTGCATGCAGACCAGGTGTTTCTTTTGCCATTTCATGTTACATACAAACTCACTTTAGCTAAGAAGTGTAAAAAATCCATCCCATTTCTTTCATAAAATCTGCTAATGTTTACTATTTAAAATACACTGTGGCCATGCCCCTCTAACCTCTGCTATATGCTGTGTGTTGGCCAGGGAGGAGAAGCAGAAGGTGAGTGGACTGGATGGAAGTTGCTGACTATGGCTGGACTGTTTGACTGCTGGACACCTCCAGGTGGTGGAGAACCTCTTTACACATACAGTGTTATCACTGTGAATGCTTCCCCTGGCCTGCAAAGCATCCATGATAGGTAAGCATAGTAATTAATAAACAAACTCTTTTTTCATTCGTGTCTGTATGAAATCCTAAATTACTCTGTGGTTGTGTTTTTAGGATGCCAGCAATCCTGGATGGAGAGGAAGAAGTGAGAAGATGGCTTGATTTTGGGAAGGTGAAGTCTCTAGATGCCTTGGAACTGCTCCAGTCTAAAGACATCTTGACTTTTCATCCTGTCTCTTCAATAGTGAACAACTCACGCAACAACTCTCCAGAGTGCCTTCAACCCGTGGATCTTAACAGCAAAAAGGTATCAGATTTACGATGGTATTTTACTCACTCATCAGTTATCAGGCCAGTAGAGATGTTTTAACTGACAAATCTGACCCTTGACCCCTAGGAGCCCAAGCCCACAGCCAGCAGTAAGATGATGAAGAGCTGGCTGACGAGCAGTGCACCTTCAAAGAGGAAGCAGCCTGACACATGTGAGAGTAAAGAGCAAAAAACCAAGGCTCAGTGCAAGCGTACAGGAGCTGTTCAGCAGTGGCTTCAGGGAGCCAATAAGAAAGCTAGAACCAAATGAAGACACGAACTGGGACTGAAAGAAAGACCATTTAGGCCTTAATTCCATGTTACTATTTGGATGGGTATGAGAAAGATTCATGTTCAAAATTTTGGTTTTATATGAAATAAAAATGCTCCACAGATACTATTTGATTTCAAAATGTTGTCAATAAATGTCAGAAATAAACAATATGCTTTATTCAAGATGTTTTATTACCCTTATTACTTGAACCGCAAAGACATTTTTGAAACAATGTAGATGCTATGCATTTATCATATTAATAATATAATAATGATGAATGCAAATACTTCCATCACATTTTTTTTTTTTCTTCTTTCAAAGTTACAGTATGTATGCTATCTTGTAATCTATAATGCATTTCAGAGTTTTAACATAATACGAACAGACAGTTAAAGATCTGATCGGTTAAAAGAAATGTCAAGCACTTAAATTGTTTGCCAACACGAGCAACTGGCAGAGTCAGATATGGAGATTTACAACACAACTTTTTGCCTTCCCCACACAATGACTGAGAGGTCTGCAAATATACAAAGTCTTGCAATAACTGACAGTAAAAAGAAATGTACTAGCTAATAGTACTCAGTTATGAATGATATTTATACTTGAGAAAAATATCTCCTTTCCAGGACTATCATGTAGGATGACATGCTGTCTTGATTTGGTTTATTCCCACATCAAATGTTTTACCAAGAATAACTGACTACAAGATGGAACTTCTTTACCCCGATAGAGGAACAGCAGATACCGTGATAGGGACAGCACTTACATCAAGGAGCCGAGTCTGGATTCACACTATGTCCTCAACCTGAGCTACAATTGCATTTATTGCGGCTCCAAAATGAGATGTCTGAACGAGTCTTTCATTACTGTAAATGACAAAAAACAAAAAGATCTGTACACATTTGTTTGATGGACTTCTTCCTGTGCCAATTAACGAGAATCAGCAGGCAGCATATTAATGTGATCCCCACATGCACCTTCACGTATCCTGATCCTTCAGTTCTGACTCCCTGTTTAAGTATCAGAGTTTTCTTTTTAAGGTTGCATGAGATCAAGTGAAACCATGGTAACAAGTGTTTTTGAGAGTGAAACGAGTGAAATTTTAAGCCACAACACAAATGAGTAAAATGGGGGTGGGGGTCAGGGGGAGCAGTGTTTCCTCTATTCATGCAGCAGTGGCGGGCTGTGAAAGTAAGAAAACAACCACCACTGCTAAAAAAACTTTGATTAAAAAAAAAAGTTTTCTAACTTTACTTATCAACACAAACATGTATAGAGATAATGCTTTGATTTACCACTTAAAGTATCCAAATAAAAGCAGTTAGAACCAAAACTGGGTGTGAAAGCAGCGATATACGTGGAACCGAAAATGAGATTAGCCCAAACCACCGCTGCCATGAAAAAGTACGAGGGGAAACACTGGGAAGTAATAAGCATCATACAAGTAAATTCCATAATGTTTCCATAAGGTGTTCTTTGGGCCAGGAGACTCATATTTTATAGAAAATGTGTTTTGTATACATAAGGAGGTGAGTGCAGCATGTTTGTCTGTGTAGTAGTATACTCTATGAGTGGGATGCTGCTTGTATGTTGGGCATTAGGGATCAACACAGTGGGCCATGGGAAAAAGGGATATATAGACAAGGCAAGACAGGGTAGTGAGGGCAGTGACAACCCCCTCCCAGAAGATCTTCAGCGTCCTCAGCAGCTGCAGGTCTCTGCTGACGGCTTGGCTCGCTCGTTCCTGTCCAGCTTTATCGGCTCGGGGAACTCGTTGTACAGCTCCACTTCGGTCTCCTGAAATCAGACAGCAGAGTTGAGTGAGAGCCCGGCTCTGCATCTCGCAGCTTTCACAGAGACACTAGGATTACAGGCTAGCGTCTCTCACTGGCCTCCGTTACCTGTTTAAGGGCGTTGCGTGCAATAGTCTGGAAGGCCTGCTCCACATTGATTGCCTCCTTGGCGCTGGTTTCGAAATATGGGATGTTGTTCTTGCTCTGACACCAAGCCTGTGCTCGCTTGGTTGTTACCTGAGACACAAAGGAGCTGATGTTAGACTTTTTGAATTATTCTATTGAAAATCTATCGAAAATTACCAACACACATCAGTACATTTGCGTGAAAAACAAAAAAAATAATGGTGCACATAGCAGCACCACTGGCAAATAGAAATGTGATTATTGGACCCACCTGTCTGTTCTCCAAGTCAATCTTGTTGCCCAGCACCACAAAGGGGAAATTCTCCGGGTCTCGAGGGCTGGCTTGGATCAAGAACTCGTCCCTCCAGCTGTCTAGAGTCTTGAAGGTGTTGGGTGCTGTCACGTCAAACACCAGGACGCAGCAGTCTGCTCCGCGGTAGAACGCTACGCCTAAGGACTGGAACCTCTCCTGACCTGCTGTGTCCCAGATCTGAGATGCAGAACAGAGAACACATGGTGTGTTTACATGCACAAAACAATCCGATTACTGTAAACAGAGAGATTATGGTAATACTTTGAACATAGTGTTTACATGGTTCACATTAACAAGATTCAATTCAATTCAATTATTTGTACAGTGCCAAATCATACCAGAAGTTATCTCAGGACACTTTCAAATTGAGCATGTCTAGACCGTACTCCTTATCAATATATGGTGTTTACACTGTTTGTTAGTTGATGTTACAGTGACAGTTATGTGTGGTACCATACAAGAAGCTTGAAGTGAATGAAGGGGCTTAAGTTGGTGTGTGTGTTTACCATTGATAGAGCTGCTTTATTCCAAAGTAAGTCAAACTGACCAGTTATGCAGCTCTGCTAATCAAGTTAAACTTGATTGTGATTTTAACCTTAACCTGACTAACCAAGAGTTTACATTAATATTAGTATTATTGTGAATATAAATGCACTGACAGACTCGCCATCCTCTCTATAGTTTTCAGGAGTCTGCAAAAGAAACCAGTTTAAATTTGAAATAAAAAAAATTGTATTATTGATCCTTTACGTTTTTGTTTTTTTTCTGAGTTTAATGGACTGTTACAAAATGATTGTGTTTATGAAAATACACATCTACCAGTGATAAGCCATTGTTAGTGTGGGCCAGTGGTTCCCAACCATTTACCTTAAGGGACACCTTTTCACTGAGAAAACTACATTTTATGGATTTTTCATTTTATATTCAATGCATAACAGTAACAGTATAGAACTACTGATAAACTGTACAATTACTCCAAATAATGATTGCAATAACTGCAGGACGTTTGTGTAAAAATATTGAGCAGATTATTTCCTGTGAATTCTGCTGCAGCTGACATTTTTAGTAACTTTTAATACAATCCTCTGTTTGAATTATATTTTGTATATTTGTATTATAAAAATATTTTAACAAACACATATGTAATTGGCTTTTTTTTTTTTTTTAGAACAAATTCAGAGTTTTCTTCTCAGTGTTTTATTAGCTATTTGGTTGTGTTAACTGCATGCTTTTCTACTGCTGGATATACAAGTGAATGTAGCTTGTGTTCAGGTCTTCAACATGGCCGTGGTTTGTATCCTAAGTAATAATATAAAAATATAAAAATAACAATTTTATTTAGTTTGCTTCACGAAATGAATGAAATGTTGAGGTATAGGCCAACTGTGTTTTAAAATAAGTTTTCTTCACCCTTAAAATCAGTCCTTACAACCCCAGTGAAGTGTTGGCAACCCCTAGTGGAGGTCGGGACCCCTAGGTTGGGAACCAGTGGGGTGAGCGGCAAGTAATGGCATTTTTTTTTTTTTTTTTAAATGAAAACATTTCATTAGATATTTTATTGTATTCTGTGATTGTTTTAGATATGATAATCATGTTTCAATAAGAGGTTAGTCAGTGTGGCATTCTTGTGTTATTTCCTCAGTACCTGCATTGTGACAAGTCTGTCATCCACCATGACCTCTTTCGTCAGGAAATCAGCCCCTATTGTGGCTTTGTACTGATTACTGAACTTCTTATTCACATACTGGTTCATCAATGAGGTCTTGCCAACTCTAGGGAGAAAGAAAATCACAGAACAACATTCAGTGGCTATGATGGGCAAAAAAAAAATGACAGAAAGAGTCACTGTGATGAATTAGAGAAGCACAAAAATGGTTCCTTGCTTGCTGTTTTAGTGTATTGTCATCAGATTAGATTCACTACTCTAAGTGTTTTCTTTACTATTAACCATCAGGCATCTCTCCTATGGCCCAACATAACTCACCCGGAGTCTCCGAGGATGATGACTTTGAGTAGTACTTTCTTCCTTGATGTCATTGTGCCACAGCTGTGGAGACAAAAAGTAGATTAGAGGGGATAGAAGCAGACCAACGCTGGAATTCAAACAAGATGGATACGAACGATTAGCCTGTGATGACCCTTTTGATATGGGCCCACAGGTTTCACTGAAAGATGATATGTGTGGGTCTCAAAATACACTCCAAAGAAATGGGCTGGTTCTAGGAATGAAACCAAGTGCAATGTCTCCCATGCTTGAGCTTCCTTTTACTTCACAAACAAAGAAAAATACAGTAATCGGGGGGGAAACAATACGCTGTGCCGCATTGTACCCTGAGGCTCCAAATACAATTCATAAAACAAACAGTCCACTACGATGTGATACTCATACAACTGAGGAAACCATTCAATAGAAAAAAAACTACATTGTCTCAGTCCCAACATTACAATAAATTGAAAACAAAAATGGAACACACACCCAGTTACTCCAAAATACACTCAATGACAGACATGTCTATACTGTAGTGCATTATGATAACTTCCCAGCCAGCACAGGAATTTGTTGAATATTAAAATTCACCAGCCATTCAATAGTAAATCATTATTTTGTGTCTGAAATCTACCAGCCACAAACAGGCATTGCACTCATCATCATCTCGCACATATTTCAGTAAAACTACAAGTCAACAGCCTCAGCATCTATTACAGTCTGAAAAATACACACACATAGGCCTCAACTCTTCCTCTTTGAATACAATCCTCCTTCCCCCATTGACTAATCTCTATTTCCATGATATAAGATCCCTGATAAACATGTCCAAACTCCTTCCCCCGGGTTTTCCATTGTGTATTTACATATGCTCTGCAGAAATGTGCCTTTTTCATAGATAACTATTATTATCTGAAACCATATATTTATGAATGATCAGAAGTAAAGATTATTTTTGTACTAAAATCAAACATTCTCATCTGTGTGCCTGCTCAAGACATCACCAAGCATTTCTGACTTTGGCTGAGAGTGCTTTGTAATAATAAACCACCTCATACAGCTGTTATGACCAAAGTCCAAACCTTATTACCGATGGGCTTTAAACCACCGATCCATTTAAATTAAACCTCGGAGAAAGTGATTGTTAAAAAAAGATTAATCACAGGATTTATCCGAACATCACTTAACGTTTACAGCCACGTATGTGAATCAAAAGCCACGGCTTGAATCCATATCAGTGTTACTCTGAAGCAAAACTAGCATAGAGCTATCGGCTCTCATAATCTGCACCCCATGACACTGTGTCAGGGACTGATCACATGGTTTTAAAACACAGGACTAACGGAACCATGACTTGGCAAGCATGATTAGCACCGCAAATGCTGAAGTTGGATTAAATACACATGCCGCTGTAACACATAGTTAGGATCAACTAACTCTAGTTAGGACATACCTGGGTGTAAATATTTTCAGATTGTAGCAGAAAGTCCTGTCTGAACATTTTACCTAACGACCATAAAGACATCAAACACACCTGCAAGGGCTAGCAAGGTAGAATAAACAAATGTTACATAACTAGGGAAGCAAACTCAAGACACAGATTTAACATGTTATTGTCGTATAGAGGATCTTTCCAAACAACCGTGTCCACCGACACTTAGCGACCATAACAGTGACACTTCTTAATTTAAGCTAACGTTTAACGTTACTTAGCTAAGCAAGGTTTATTAACAAATGTCAAACGTGGTCACCGACAGCTGTGTCGTTAATATACATCGTTAGTTAAACCAATAACTACAATCACCACAAACCCACCTGGGCGATGATCCTGCGGTAAAAAATATCAAAAGTGGACTTTTCCTCCGCCTCGGCTGGAAGCGTCAGCTAACGCGCAGGCGAGCTAACAGGCTAATAGCTCCTCTAATGTCTGCCGTCAGAAAACAGCAGGTTTAAAGCGTCGACAGCTGAATAACCTCCGACAGCTAGCCTCGGTTCTACCTCTGCTTATCAAAGTCAACGCTGCCACAGCCGACCTGTATCTCCCTTAGTGTAACAGAAGCGATTTGGTACAATGGTCCGTTTCGCCCTTTTCCTGTGAAGCTAACGCGCTAGCTGCTAGCCGAGCTGTGCTCACTTCCTCCAAAACAAGCTCTGTCGGTAGGGGCTGACGTCACGCGCTGGACACGCCTCGTGCCACAGGACCTGAGGAGTGACACAAACACAAATTCAAACTTTGACTTAATGTCATCTAACCAGTAGATTATATGCTTGGTCACACAGCTTTCTGCTTCCACTACACGGGCTTTACAGCAATTTAAAAATCTATAAAATAATGTAAATATATATATATATATAAATCTGATGATGACATTATAGCTGACGAGCTACTGACAATAAGGACAGATAATAATAACAATAATAATAATAAATCTTTCCATGCATTGTTGTATCAGTGGTTTCGAAACCTTTTTCCTTTACTGACCTCTTTTCTATCACTGAGTAAACTGACTGACTAAAAATGTGTCAGTTAATAAATAAAATAAATAAATAAAAGCAGGGCCCTGCTTAGGTGACATATTCTATGGATATTTAATTATATATTCAAAACTGTGCAATGAACTCAAATAGTAACTCAATAACTGCAAGACGTTTGTGTAAATCTAGTTAACTGACTCTTAAACCCACCCTGTATATATGCATTACACATAGTAACTATCATTCTTGTACAGCTTTCTATCTTTATTTATATTTAATTCCTTGATTTTGTGTGATTCTTATGCACCAAGGCAGATTATTTCCTGTTTAGGTAACCTTTAATACAATTATCTGTATGTATTAAGTATTTTTTAAATAATTTTAAACAATCATACATACTTACTACACATTCAGTAATTTATTGTGCCTGATGCTTGGCCATTGTTCTATTAGACAATTTACTTTACATTTACTTTTCTTTACAAAAGTGAACCAAATGAGATGTAGGCCTACCTGTATATTTTCTAAGTTTTCTAGCACGCTTTAAAATCAAGAAGGCCTCGTGACCCGACATGAAGCTTTGGCAACACCTTAGTAGGGGTCCTGACCCCCAGGTTGGCTAACAATTCTGACTATTTATTAATGAGAATACAGAACAACAAAATGCTGGCCTACAGATACAAAGTCCTGCTGCAAGTGAAATGTGGCTTTTCCTTTAGTGTTGCATAATAGGCCAGAATAACCTGCTAGAGGGCCTGAGGCAAAAATGTGACCTACTCCCCTCTCCCCAATGCTAAGATTAGTCATTCATTGCTGTCCTTCACTCCAGACTTTACCAGCCACTGGTGGGATACCGTGATGTCCATCGTTGCTGTCTGCCATGGTGCCACCCAAGGAGGGTCTTTACCCCATGTCTGCAGCTGTGGTATTCTCTTAGCAGCTAATACTCCAGAGCCACTTTACTCACATATCCAGAGATGGTTTTTTTTCTTCATTAAAGACACTCCCTAAGTCCCACCTTATCTCCAGCCAGTGTACAGGGTGTAATAATGAGTTTTTAGGTCTGAGTCTAGCTGTTTCAACAGCCTCCATGTCCTCTCTCGGCCAACTTACTCTAACATCTGGGTATTTGTGTGTTTGTCATGCGGTTAGTTCAACTGAAACTAGAAAATGTCTTATTTTATGTAGGTTATTTCATGCTGCTGGCTTTCATGCCTCCTTGTTATGGTTTCTTTGGAACTGAATCTCCATTTACAATTAAGGTATATGGCAGACTTTTTTATCCAGTGCTCTATAGTTACGTTATCTTTTGCTGAGAAAATGCAGCATGCAAATCAAATATTTATTTATATTTCAAATATGACTTGGACATTTATGTATAAGGGACCTTACTTTGTAATGTGGTTCTGTACTTATCTTCTGTATGTATAAGTACAAGTGCCACATACAATACATTTATAACATCATTAGTCGGCCAAATGGCACAAATCTTATTAATATATTGACGGCAGTCTGACAAGGATGCCACCAGCAGGCACTGCAGATATTTACTAGTCAGACAGTCGGTCGTGGACCAACACTCAGGATAAAACATTTAAATCATTAAATGTAGTCGTAGTGATTGTTTTTCTGCTTGGCTCAGATTCGCTTCCGACGCTCGGCGCGTTGTAATGAGCGCGCCCTGACGTCATCACGTCGGACCGAATGTAGCGTCATCCTTTCTGATGTAGAGCGGCACGGCGGCCTTTCTTCGCTGCTCTACATTTCACACAGTCTTTCCGCTCTTATCCCGGTATTGCAGCTCTTTTAATTTCTTTAACCATGATTGGAAAGTCGCCACTGCTGGCCGCTTTCCTGCTGCTTCTGGCCGTGAGCTCGGAGGTTTCAGCGGACGGTTTAGTGAACGAGGAGGTGAAGAGGACTGTGGACCTGAGCACTCATCTGGCCAAGATCACTGCGGAGATCGTGCTGTCCAACCAGGGACACTCTGCCGTCCAGAGCTTCATGTTAGCGGTAGAGGCTGACCTGGCCCCGCACCTGGCATACATCGGAGCTTCGGTGAGCCAAACATTAGTGAAGGAAACAGCCGACCACTTCTGCCTGTAACCGGCTCGCTAGCTTTAGCATGTTAGCCACTCCATAGTTAACTTGGGTGACACACACCGGGGCTCTACCAGATCTGGCTGCTCTCACATGTTACATGTCTCTGTGTTAAATTGACAGCAGCAGCAGTGCACGAGTGAATCTCATGCTACCATACGAGGGTACAGAGTGTCCACTGAAGACCTGTACTGTCAGGTATTAGCTGGGGCTATGTGTTCATTGTGGTCCTGCAGGCAGCGAGCTCTGCAAGCTCGGAATCAAACAGCCACAGTTAGCCTAGCCAACAGTATGTATATTGCTTATTGCAAGGTATTAGCATCCGCTCATTTGCTGTGAGCATGAGTGGACCCATCAGATAAATTCATTTTGAATTGCTAAGGATGTGGGTAACGAGACGTTTACTTCCGCAGCGCTGCACGCTCTGTCAGTGGCTGAATGACACGTATGCGCTGGGCAGCTCACTTCCGTGTGTGACTGCGCAGGCCTGCCCCTTCCACTATGACTTAAACTGTATCAATGCTCTGTTCTGAGACATATTCATAAACTATACACGGTTTCTTCAAGGTGCTTTTATTGATTGCGTTATTAACCTCTCACTTGTCCCGTATTTTGCTTGTCAGTGTTTTCATTCCAAAGAGAGTTTGCTAAAACCAACATGTTTCCACAGGTTAAGGGTGATGAGGAGGAAGATGGCACACTTGAACTCCAACAGACAACAATTCCAGGCCAAAGGTAAGAGATCAAACAAGATGCTCAAGCCCGCCTGAACAACCAAACTGATTTTACAGCAGTCACTAAATGAATGAAAAGACTCAGAAGTGTCTGAGTGGCATTCATGATGGAACATTTGAATTAGTTTTACCTTTTAGCTAAGAAAACACCAATGGAAGAGAAGACCAATATTGTTGTCCCACAGTTCCTTGCTTCAGCAATCAAACGCTCACAACACAAGCCGTTCTGTCAACATTATATAATAATAATATTTGGCAACTTGATGATGAAAATGACTTATTAATAAATATTTAGCTCAGTTTGGCACCATCTTCCATGTAAACTGTAAAGTAGGAGGACCACCCCCTCTCTATGAATTGTTTTTTAACAATACAAAAATGTATTCCTTAAAACAAGACTGCATCTTGTAGAGAAGCTGATATTTTACAGCGGCAGCATTAACATCATTATGCAAATGTATTTTACCCATGCTCCTCTCAGTCATATCTTATCTGTCCCCATACAGCGGGCAGTTTTATAAAGTGCAGCTGCCCTCCACTCTGGCAGCAGGTGCTCAGTTGAAAGCGAAGGTGGAGATGACATTTAGCCACGTCCTGAAGCCCTTCCCCACACAAATCACCCAGGCCGAGCGCCAGCTGGTGGTCTTCCAAGGGAACCACTACCTGTACTCCCCATACCCAACCCGCAGCCAGACCACGCGTGTCCGCCTGGCTTCCAAGACTGTGGAGAGCTACACCAAGCTGGGCAACCCCAGCAAGAATGATGAGATCGTTGAGTACGGACCTTTCCGCGATGTGGCGCCGTTCAGCGAGGTAAACCTCTGACCAGATCTGACGAGCTTCGAGTGAGTGTGCAGGAACGCTGCTAAAGCATTTTGTGTTTTGTGTGTTCTCTGCTGTCCAGGATACCATGAAGATCCATTACGAAAACAACACGCCCTTCCTCACCATCAGCAGTATCACTCGGACCATTGAGGTCTCTCACTGGGGTAACATTGCTGTGGAAGAGACCATCGACTTGAGGCACACAGGAGCCGTCCTGAAGGGGCCTTTTTCACGTTACGATTATCAACGTCAGTCAGACAGCGGCATCTCATCTGTCAAGTCCTTCAAGGTGTTGTATTAAACACAAACCAATCGTCTGACTTGTTTTTACTGTTAAGGTGATGACGATGACGATGACTATATATGCTTCCTCCCCAACAGACCATCCTTCCTGCCTCGGCCCAGGACGTCTACTACAGAGATGAGATTGGCAACATCTCAACCTCTCATCTGCAGGTTCTGGATGACTCAGTGGAGGTGGAGGTCAGGCCTCGCTTCCCCTTGTTCGGAGGCTGGAAGACCCATTACATGATTGGCTACAATCTGCCCAGCTACGAGTACCTTTACACCCTGGGTGAGTTGATCGCCCCAACTAACTAACTACCTTTGATTGATTAATGGCTCTGAAAAGTGAAGCCAGTGTGGTACTGCCTTAAACCTGCAGTCTTTCTAATAGCCAGCAAGGGGTAATGGCTCTAAAAAGAAGTCTGATTATATGTAAGTCTATGAGAAAATGAACCTAGTACTCCCTCATTTATTACGAGTTCAGTCACTATTTTTGACGAGTTCAGTCACTATTTTTATTTTTTTCTAAATATTTTTATTTTTATTGCCTTTATGATAGAGACAGCTGAAGAAAGACAGGAAAGGGGGACAGAGAGAGAGGGGCTGACACGCAGCAAAGGGCCGCAGGTCGGATTCAAACCCTGGGCCGCTGCAGCAAGGACTTAGCCTCGGTACATGGGTCGCCAGCTCTACCCACTGAGCTAACCGGGTGCCCACAGACGCTAGTTTT